TCTACCTCCTACTTTAGCACGATCTCCAAATTCAACATGTTTTATGTTAATACCAGTATCTATAACGTAGACATTTATACCTTTACCAGCAGAAGCAGGGAATGTGTAAGAACCATCTAGCAGGAGTTTACTTTGGTCAATACGATCCAAATTTGGTAGAAGAGTTTTTTCCATTATTCTTTTGAAAGATTTGTTTTTTGAGGGAATAACATTTTTTAATGTTATGGGAGAATCTTTTTCAAAAAAATTCAACATCACTACATGTGGAAAGGTGTTCTTTGACAAACTGTGGTGAAAAGTGAGCTATGTAACCTTTAAGAGATGTTCCTTCTATGGTTAAATCAAGAGCTGTAATTTTTTCAACATTGTGATTAAAGAAACTTTGGATATCAATTGGTTTTTTTTTCACATCCCAACAATCATTTAATCATGATTTATGTCTGTTATCTTCAGCTTTTAAAAAAACCATGTATTTTTCTGTTTTTAAATTAGTAAAGTTTGTGGTTTTAAATGAAGCCATGCATTGAATTTTATCATCATCTGGCAATCTGATCAAAGAAGCCAAGAAAATTGTAACCAATATAACCAAAGATAAAAATGGTAGATAAACGAGTAAAAAAAATCATTTTAAATGGATGTTATATTATTAGGTGGGAGATGGATAAGAAAAAAGAAAAGCGATTGTATTTTGTATGCTAATTCTCGCAGAACAATTGTTTTACCAACTGTTTTTTTTTTTTTGACCGCAAATTTTCTAAAAAAAGGGAGAAAATTTTTTTTTGAAAAATCATTTTGTCTATATATTATATAGGAAAAATATTCTTTTAAAAATCCCGCATTTAAACACAAATGTACAGTATAAAAAAAATTTTTTTTAAAAAGAGCTCCAAACAAGTCTAAATATAGAAAAAAGTAGAAAATTTTTTATTTTTCCCTTATATTTTTTTTAAAAAGGTTTCAAAAACTGGTTAATCCGGAGAAGGCATTAATTATTTATATAATTAATTTTTCGAAACTTTTCAAGAACGTGTAAAGACCAAACCAACAATTAGTTGCCAATCAAAAATGTACACACCAAATAACAAATCATGCATTGTTACCAGCTGTATAACTTTCCTTTTCCACCCTTTCTGCGCAAAGAACCCTAACCCAAAAAGCAAAAAAAATACTTAATTTATTGGTTAAAGGTTCCCAAATTAAGTCAAAAATTTTATGAGTGGCTTTTAATTTTAATAATAAGCAAAGAAACAATGCCAGTTATAAAGTATTACTTTGGCGATGAGAAGGAAACTAACACATATCAATATTAATAAGTGACTTATATCCTCTTTGAATGATGCGGCTGACTGTTTTGATGTTAATTCATGGGACAATAAAGAATTATCTTCATCTTCAAAACAATTAGAATATGAAACATTATATGGAAATATCAATTGGTTATTTATAATATATTTATTTATTAAATTTAGAACCACACAATCATTAAAAGTTTAGATTTGAAACATCAAACCAATTGTTATTATTATTACAAATAATTCGAAATAAGAATATGTTTTTCAGTAAAAACCAGGAAAACCGTTATCTGATATTTTCAAACCTGTTTATTCCAAATTAAACCAAGATAATAATAATATAACGAGTCAAGATCTGCTAATATATGAGGGGTTTTCTAACCTCTTACTCTCAAATCTGCGATTAAAGCAAATTTTTTCCCAAGAATTCTTTTTTTTAAAAAAAAAAAACTATTTCTGTTAGTAACATTGTCAGTAATAGTAATAATAACATCATTAACATGACTTTTACAACAGCATCATTTAATAACAACAATTCAACAACCAGAACAATTGATACATCTGCCTTTTCTGAAATAACATCTCAAGATAGAAATCAACAAAAAAAGCCAAGAAAAATTTCAAAAAGTAAAAATGTCAACAATTATAATGGTGACATTTCCGATTATTCAACAACATCATTGCCTGCATCCAATAATGGCTCAACTCCGTCTCTAATTAGTATGACAGGTATACCTACAATGAGTAATGGTTATCGTGGTAATAATTTCAATGGTAATCATTATAATTCAAATAATTTCAAAAATGATCGTGTTAAATCATCATCATCTTCATATGATGAAAGATTTAATAATAATAATAATGGTAATGGTAGAGGTATGTCAACAGGCCCACAAGAAATAGTTAGAGATTCAACAACACCAGAATCATTTTCATCACATGCATATAGTTGGCCTATTTTATTCGCTGTTATACCTCCGATGGGAGCACTTATTTTTGGCAAATCTGATGTTTGGAGTGACTTTCTTTTGTTACTTTTAATAGCATTCTATCTATATAATATCATAAAAGGTATTTGTTTATTTGCATCCATTCCTATTTTATTTTGATGATATCCATTGATTATGATAAGTAAATGATGATAATAATAAAAATAATTATATTTTATTAAATGATTGTATAGTGCCTTGGGAACTTTATTATGCTGCTAGGTCAAAACGTTTAATGCATGAAAATGCAGTTAAAGGTCAAATACTAGATTCAACTCAAGAAGCCATCAAAAACCAATTGACAAAAGAACTTCAATCTCATGAACTATCTGCTTTAATACTTGTTATTGCATCACCAATTGTTGGTGGCTACGCATTGCATGGAGCAAAAACTTATTTGACTGATTATGACCAATACATTTCTCACTTTAATATTGTGTTGTTTGTTTTTGCAGCTGGTATCAAACCTTTAATGCATATAGCTAGTTTAGCAAAAATAAAAACTTTGCGTCTTCAAGAACAAATTCATTATCCTAGCACAGAAGTTGAAGTATTGAAAAGACAAATCCAACATTTGGAATATGAATTTTCACAAATACGCAAAGGTTTAGCGACAAAACGTGATATAAATAGTATCAGAGATGGATTCGAACCCACAATTTCTCAACTTAACAAGATGGTTAAAAAATATGAGAAAAAAGAACAATACTTGCGTAATTATTCTGAGGAAAGATTTGCATATCTTGAATCAAAATTATTTGAATATGACAATTTCATTAATCACAATCTAAAGGAACAAGAAGCAATGACTTTACCGCCCAGCATGATGCAACTGATTGTCCTCCCATCAAACATTACATTAACAATGTTAAGCTATGTAAAATACTTTTTACCTAGATCTTTAAGAGGTAGTCACCAAAAACCAATGTTACAACCTGCTGATTCATCTGATGGTGATGGCAATAATGGATCCATTAATAATGATGTTGTAAATTAACCAGGAGAAAATATTCAACAAGGCGGTTTGGATTCTAGAAATTCACAATATATTGATATTTCTTTCAATTCAGCATTTTAATCTTTCGTGTTATACGTTACTATCAATTTATTATATTGGTATATTCCTATTTTTTTTTTTTTCATCTTTACATCATAATATCATTATGCCATGGTGCCATTGTAATGCTATTATTGCCTTTACATCCCTTATTAAACACATCTCTTTACACATTCATTTGCCATGTCAAAGAAAACTGGGTAGTTGGTATTCTGAATATATAAAAATCAATGTATAATATATATATATATATATATATATATATATATATATTTTATGATCAGTTTTTAAATTTTATTTTTATTTTTATTTTTACATTTATATTTTTATTTTATTTAAATACATATATATATATATATATAACAAAATTTTTGTAATTTTTTTTGTACAAAGGTTTTTTGACAATAGAATTTACATATTATTTTTAAAATTTTATAGACATTATTTACAAATAAATAATTATTAAAATTTACAATTATCATTCTTCCTATCTATTTTATATTTTATTTATTTACACATTAGACTCTACAATTATCAAATTGAAAACCAAGATATCCGTAGCACCAATTTCTTCCAATTTATCCATAACATTTGCAACCTCTTCTCTACAAACCATACTTTGCACCTCAATCCAATTAACATCCTCTAACAGACTTATCATCAGAGCTTGTCTACCTGGTGTAATTTTTGCAGCTTGTTTCAGATTTATTCGTTCAATATTATAATCCACCAATACATATTTTTTTGCTGCAACAACACCTTTTATTAATGATGGATTTTTTTGGACGTTTGTTCTTGATTAGGATTGCCTGTGAAGTCAAAATTGTCAAAATTGGTTCTAATCCTGCTGCTTTCATTGTATTGCCTTTTCTAATATGAATTTGAATTTTGAGTTTAAAATTGATAAAAGAGAAAGAAAAAACCAAAAACACTAACCAATCAAATCAACTATACATTAATTGTATTATCAGTATTATATTGGTACTATGAAATTAAAAGTTAATTAATTTCAATTGAATTCAAATTCAAATTCAAATTCAAATTCAAATTCAAATTCAAATTCAAATTCAAATTCAATTGAAATTAATTAACTTTTAATTTCATAGTACCAATTGCACCAGCCAAACCAAGAACACAGGAAGCCACCAATGTACTCAATTTTAGTTTTTTTTCTAGCAGTTCTTTCCTCTTTATTTAAATATTGATTATCCAATTTATTCAAAATATTTGGCAGTCAAATTTTCAAAACTTGTAATCATTCGTTTACCAACTCTTTAACATCTTTGATTTGTTTTCTGACGGGTGCTTGTGTTTGAAGCTTACATTTGCCAAATTCCAATTCAATTATTTCTTCGACTTTTTCAGACATTAATGATTCTGCAACCATATCTTGACCTGTTATGCCCAAGTCTGCATTTCCTTCAACAAATTTTGCTATGTCGGTTGCTGATAAAAATATTATGGCTATTGGTAAGTTTTGTACTAAGGCAATGCCTATTGCGTCTATTAAAATAAAATACAATGTTCGTGAAGACGACCTTTTTTTGGAATGGCAAATAATAAACGATCAGTTAATTGTGAAATTAATACCAATTTTGCTTCAAGGCTTCCCTCACTATTCTTCTTTTGTCGAGAAAAGGCCCACTTTTCTTAATTATACCAATATCATCATCACCAGTATCTAACTTATCTTTAAATAACAACTCTATTTTTTTACTTCTTCAGCCGAAAGAAAACATTTTACAGTACTGGAATTCTGGCTTAAGTTCCCTTTTCGAGATTGCGGGTATTTAGGAAATCTAGAATTTGGCAAATTGACTGACAGGTCTGGCAGACCACCTTTTTCTTTCATAAAATTTTATATAAAAGGAAACATGCCTGGAACTTGAGATTATCTATCCCTTCTCAGAAGCAACAATTCGCATAGCATTATTACTGTATTAGAGGTGTCAATATGCAAATGACAAACATTGTGCAAAACAACTTGGAATCAATTTTGATGTAAACACATAATTATTCTTAGAATTTCAAGGTGTATGACTACCTGACCATAATAATAATGCACGCATGTATGCAATTAGTTCAATTCAATTAGTTATATTTTTCTTTGTAAGAGAAGTTTGGTGTAAACACATTCATCTCTTTGTGTTATTCGTTTGAGGAAGACGCAGAAAAAAAACCCGTTTAAAAAGATCAGCTAAAATGTATGTTTTTCTTTTGACTCAGGCACCATTTGACACTGTTAGAATTGCCGCCATATTAATATAAGCAAGTAGAATTGGGTGAATGGACTGGTGATCTTAAAAAAGAAACAGATAATTATTCCAGAGCTTCGAACCAGGTGAAAAATTGGAACAAAAGGTTAGTATATATTTTTTTAAGAATGTCTTAACAACTGCAGATAAATGATGGTATACCATTGTGTGGAGTTAGCATGTAGTCTAATAAAGGTCCTAATGTATGGATACTGTTCAGTGTAGTCTGAATAAGGAAATATTGTGTAGATTCATGTTAATCAAAGCACAATAGAGACTGGTTATTACTGATGCATTCAAATTATTTGGCAAAAAATAAAAGGTTTGAATCAATCATATACACAGTGAAACTAGGTTTAGCGGATTTAGCGGATTTAATATTAACGGATAAAATTTCGGAACAGAATTTTTTAGTTATTTTAAAAATCTGCTAAATCCGTTAAATCAAGATATATATTGGTATACCAGATATTCCATTTCATGTCGTACATTAACAAAAAAAAACAACGTATGATAATAAAATAAATAAAAAAATTATGATCAAGTGTTAATATTTTTGAAAAAATAGAAACAATAGCTTATTATTATAATTAAAAATAATTAAATGTAAAATAAAACTTATGATTTGTAAAATTAAAATTTATGGCTTGTATAATGATTCGTGAAAATAAAAAATATCCACCTTTGTCTGTAATCAAAAAAAAAATTTTTATCAAATTTAAAAAAAAAAAAAAACAAGCACAAAAGCTATAAAAGGTTTGGAAACTGCACTCAAATATGTACAAAAAAAAAATTTGGAAATTGATTCCAAGTATCAATAAATTAAAGAAGGAAACTTCTTACAAAAATTCTCAAGAAAGAGTACAAACAAGGATTGAAGAATACTATATGCTAGAATAAAATAAAAAAAATTTTTTTTGTTGTTGTTTATATATATTAATATTTTATTATATTGTAAAATTTGTTTAATTATTACATTATTTTTTTTAAATTTAACTGATGTCACATGATTTTTATTATAAAATCCGCTAATTCCAAATTTCTCTTTTTTACGGATATTTTGATTTAGCGGATAAATTTTTTGGACAAACTTATCCGCTGAATCGAGATTCACTGTGTATTTATTTATGTTTGTTTGACTTATCTGAGTATTCAAATTTATTCGACCAATAAATTCATAAACCATACAAGTGAAAAATAGCCAAGTTAACTCAATATCTTGTGTGACATACAATGTATATACACAATGAAAAACCTGGTGTATTTTATTGGTATCTCAGGCATTGGAAAACTTTTTTTGCTTATTATTATTATAGCAATCCAGATATCCTATCCATTTAAATTATACCCATGTGGACATCCTATCCATTTTCAAAAATCTTATTTGGATATCCTATTATATTCAAAAACCATATAACGGACTGACCTAGAGTCCCTTGGCCTATCAAATCTTTGAATTAGGAAAAGAATCATTTGAAATTACAGTCTAATCTCTCTATACTGGACCTTCAAAAACTCTATAATGAACCATGATTTTTTTTTTATTAATTAAATTTGCTCTGTATAATGAACTTTATAATTAAATTCTCTATTCTGTATAACAAGCTGCCTTTGGAAAATCCCTTCTCTTCAGTGTTGGCAATTTAACTGGCTCAAATCTTTTTTGAACTGTTGTTAAATAACTGGTTAATTGATTAAATAACTTGTGATCATTTGAACTTTGCTATCAGTTATTCAGCAATTATTTGCTTAATCTTGATACTCTTTTCTGGATGCAGAGTTAACAACTTAATTTCAGGAAAGAATAACATTTATTTACACCTTGGTTTAAAATTTTATCAATTCTGTACACAGAGAGACAGCTTAAAAGCCAATAGGAAATCATATTTACAATAAATGATATAGATGAATAATATTAAAAAACTATGGTAGTTTAGAAACAAACTCGTGCACATTATCTAACCAAATTTACAGATATTGGGTATGTGATGAACAATTCCAGTGATATCCAGGATGCCTAATGATTGGCTGATATTGCATTCGCTTTATCACTCGTGACAAAATCGATCATCAATCTTTTTTATATTAATTGATTTTTCTTTATATTTTGGTAAAACTTGATCAATTTGATTAATTTGAGTTCAATAAGTTAAAAGTTTAAGGCTTCTGTGATCTTGTCTGTGTCATTATTATTTATTATTATTATTTTTTTTATTTTTTTTTAAATATGAATGATAACATTTCACTTTATTAATAAGTCATTATTATACTTGCGGGTAAAGACTTGTTCTATATTTTCATTATTATTATAATTTAAAGAAATAATGTCTTTTGAAAGATTTTAACTGAAAATCTATTTGACAATGCAAACAATGTCATGCGAAACCATTGGATCTTTCAACAAGATAACAATCCTAAGCATATAGCTGGGGATACTAAAAAACTTCTTACATAACACTATCCAAAAATGTTGTATTGGCCATCAAATAGCCCAGGTCTCAATCTATTTGAGAATTTGTGGCAAATTCTAAACGGACTTGTTGAAAAGCAACCCAATAAAGTGTTAATTTAAAAAAAAACCAGTTACTGCAGAAAGTTTTCGTGAAATAATTCCGAAAGAATGGGAGGGGATCGACAATTTTTTTTTTGATTTAATTCATAATATGCCGTCAAGGTTAAATGAGGTGGTTGAGAAAAATGGTAATAAGATAAGCTACCAAGTAGTTTTAAGTAAACTTATTTATCAAATCACAAAGAGCATATCTATAAATTTTCATGTAATGTTAGCTTTTTTTCGTTGCACAATAAATAAAAATTCCATTCCGAAAACGTTTTTCGTGCACTGTAGATGCTTTGTTGGCAATAGGAAAAATCAAATTATACTTTACAATCAGACAAATCACGATTAACAGATAATTGATAAGAAATATTGAATTTAATTCAAATGAATAAACAAAATTTATGATTATATGAATAATTAAAAATTTAATAAATAAAATAACCTTTATATTTTTTAAAAAAGAAATATATTTTTGTATGATGGTGGCTGAAATTATTTGACAAATCTGAAATAGTTTCTCCCACAGAAATTAGGAATTTGGACACCTAAACTGGTGATGAAACTTAAAAATGTGGACGGAACTCCTAAACTATGGGCGAAACTTTTAAGCTGTGGTTAAATTGTCAAACCTATGATTTATCGAAGTTCCATTCAATCGCATGTCGGACATGTGACCTAGTATTATAATATTCGTATTTTTATTAATATTTTATATTCATATTTTTATTTTATATTTAATGTTTTAATATTTATTTCTTATATATATATACAGTCAAAGCTCTCTATAACGAACCCCCTGGACCGAGAATTTTGGTTCGTTGTAGAAGAGCGTTCACTATAAAGAATTGTCGATCATCTCATCTACGGTCACGTGAACATATTATGAATAATTTATTGGCTACGAGTCATTAAGTTTCGCATTCATTCATAAAATAAAAACAATCCTTTTTGAAAATAAAATAGAAAAATTAAGTTTTATTCATATAATTATCAATTTTTAATTGTTCTTTTGAATTAAATATATTTTTGACTTTTCTTTTATTAATCTCAATTCATTATCAGTTAATTGTGACTTGTCAGTTTGTTTAATTTTGATTTTTTCTATCGACAACAAATCATTTTTATGTAATACAGGTGAAGAAGAATCATTATCATCATATTCTTATTAGGAAATAATGTTGAAACAATTTCTTCATTTTATTTGACAAAAGTGATGTGTATGTGTAAATAATCAACTAGCAAACAATTATATTTAACATATAATTTGTTGGCCAGTCTTGTCTCTGTCAACAATAACAACAATAACAAATAATAATAGTAAAAAGAAGAAGAAGAATAAATTTTTAAAAAAATTTTTTTTTCAATAATAAATAAGTTTATGTTACACGGGTTCGTTATAGAGAGCATTATTTATATATAAATTTGTATTTGGTCCCCCCAAAGACAGTCGTTATACAGAATAGAGAATTTAATTACAAAGTTCGTTATATAGAGCAAATTTCATTAATAAAAAATCAGGACCAAAATCTTAGTCCGTTATAGAGAGCAGTTCGCTTCTCAGAGATTCGTTATAGGGAGCTTTGACTGTATTATATTTATTATAATTTATTTATTACAAAAAATAATTAATTTTAAAAGAACATATCCTTTGACCAAATGAATCTTTTTTATCAATAAATTTTCCGATTAATTAATTAATTAATTGGATAACTAAATAATTCTATATTAATATTAATGACTCGAGCCTTGCTTGAGAGTAGAAGCAGAAAAGTTAATATAAAATTATCCTTTACAAATAATTCGTTTTGTAATAGACAGTTTCATAATTTAACAATTCTTTTTTAATAAAATACTTTTGTGGTCAGAAGTTAAATTAATTATCTGTTTGGCAGTTTAGAAGTTTCACTAGGACCCCGTAAACTTCATAGATAAATTTAATTTATATACGGCGCAGATTATCTATAATCAATTAATAACAACTGGTCAGCTTCAAAATACTAAAACAAAAAATTTTTATATCATTTTTAAATATTTAACGATAAGTTTTATTGTCCATGACTTAAGCTTCGGCTAGTTTTTTCTTAAACTAAAAACTGGCAGAAGCATTTTGAAAATTCCAAATTTGGTTATCTATTATATTCTTGAGAAATTGAGACCAAGTAAATTTCGTGTAACAAGGGTTTTTCATAGAATATTTCTACGACATGTATTGATTTATTTGTATTGTTTATTTATTAATAATAAAAAGTTACTTTACGAATATATATATTACATCAAAAGAAAATCATTATCAAATTTGGTCGTGCAATTTATTGTAGCACAAAAACTTATTATTGCATTAACTATCAAATTTAAAAAATCCACGAAAAAAAAATTGAGACAAAATTTTTTTACATGAATTGACTCCCTTTTTAAAGCTGAATTGAATGGTGGTGGTTTTTTAAAAATCCAAAATGTGGGTCACATAATATTTCAAATTTTTTAACTTTTGAGTATAGATGATCTGCATTGTATGAATTTGACCCAGTTACAAAAGTCACTTGGTCCCGCAACTTTTTATTGGTCATGTAGATCTTTCAAATTCTTCAAAAATGGAAATGTAACGCTAAAAAATGATCCGTGTTTTGAAGCCAAGACCTTTCTCTACAAAGTTACAGTTTCATTTTGTTGATATGTCATGTTTTTGTAGAGAATTTGAGCCTCAAAGTTGCACGAGTTTGCTGAATTTACTATGTTCGGTCTAAATTAGCGCGTCGCACACAGAAAAGTTAATATCAAAAATAAACGAATTGAAACAAAATAAAAATTTGAAGTTTTTCCTTATATTGCAGATCTTTTATCACGTGAATTGCACAGATGAATAAAAAGAGAATTTATTTCTTTATATAAAAAGATACAACAAACAGCTAAATTTCATTAATAAAATAGACTCTTGCGTTGATCAAAGAAATTTTTTACTACAACTATTACTATTACTATTACTATTTATTATTATGAAATGACTAGGAAATATCACATGACCAACCAAAATTGGCATCGTGGCGCAAAAAGTCGTGCACCCACCATTACGATTTACCAAAAAATTTTGTGTAACAAAAACTTTAACCAATACTTTATCTTTTAGAATGATGGGAAATTTTTTTTTAGTAATTTGAATAAAAAACCATTACATGGATAATTAAAATGCTCGCATGCATTATAAATAATAAATAATGAAAATATTACCAAATATGTTTTTTGATTTTAAATTTTGTAATATGTACATCAACTTTAATTATTTCTTTTGTATTGAATCGGGATAGCTTTCGTAATTCTAATTCTAATTGTTGTTTATTTGCTATATCTATAATATCGTCATCAAAGCTGGCTTTCCTGACGAAGTTGTTTAAATAAATAATACCAAATTTATGTTGAAAGTTCTGTATTTATTGCCTTTGAGTATCATCCGATCCTTGATTTGTAGGAATATGAAATCACTAATGAAATTAGTTTCAAGAGAATTTGTCGTATTAAGTGAATCAGCGGAATTTTTTCCAAGTCTTCGTTATCGGATCCAACAGAAATTCTTTGTTGGATAACTCAACAGCTGTAGTGTTTACATCACATTCATTAGTTTAATTTCCAGTCAAATCCATATTAAAATAAGACAAAAATATAAATATTATGGATTGTAGTATTATTATTTATTCATAAACTTACTCGAGGAAAGAAGTAGTAATGTGAGCCGGCTAAGGAATTTTTAAACGGCTCGGCCGACCAGGCCGCCTAAAAAAAAATTTCTCTTAACATTCATGTTTACGTCTGTAATTTTAGTGCAGAACTCAGTAGCATAGAAACTTATTTGAGATGGATTTATCTGCGTTACTTATAATAACAAAAAACTTACATTTGCTAAAAAACAAAAACAAAAACAATACTCGTAACAGGGTAATAGTAATATTAATAGAGTTTCTATTCGTAATACAAATTCTTGTTCAAATTATTCGTTTTATAATTATTCGAATTTTCGTTTTATTCAAATTATTCGTTTTATTCGAATCACTCGCTTTATTCAAATTAGTTTATGAATTATTATTATCATTAGTCTTATTCTAATTATTCGAATTATTCTAATTTATCCTAATACTAATTACTATTCGAATTATTCGAATTATTATTATTCTAATTATTAGAATAAACTTTCAATGCAATTCGAACACTCAAATTCATAATGAATAATTAGAATAAACCTTCAAACTATTAAATAGTAATAATGACAGGATATAACATAGTAATAATAGTAATAATAATAATACCGGCAAGCCTAGTACCATCTGAAAAGTTTTTTCGTGAACTAAGATTTTATTTAAGTTCTTGGCCGGTTAGAAAGAAGAATTGTTGAAAATCAGGTGATATTGAAAAATATAAAATTAACCTAATTAACCTGGGTGGACATATTACCAAAAATTTTATTTTCTTTTTATGCGTGAAAACACCATGTGGAAAAAACAAATATAAATATAAATAAAACGAATTATTTTTTTTTTTTTCGAGTAACATTAAAATTTTAGATTTTAGATACAATCTTAATAATTAATATTAATATTAATAATTAATATTAGATATGAATGAATTATGAAATATCGAAAGAATTTATTACGTTGTTATCTGAGTACCCAAGTTTTTTTTGAGATCTCTATCAAAGAAAAATATTGTAATGCTGTCTGCGACAATGATTATAGAAATTTTAAACAAGATTTCTGTGTAATTAAATTTATTTATTATTATTTATTTGCTTTATTATTTATGTTTATCTTGTTTATTTACACAAACAATTTAATATTAAGTATTTTATTATCGTCATCAAAGCTGATTAATATTAAATGAATCATACGTCTCTTTACTAACTGCACCCTTTTTTTCTTTCAAATTATATTGAATTTATATAGTTTCCCTACCATCCTCTTACTCTCCCCCTTTTTATTTTTTGCATATATATTATTGTTGTATGAATAATTGATTATATATAATATTTTTTTTTTAAGTTTACAAAGATTTATTTTTTTTTGGTTTTTAAAAAAAAATTAAATTTTTACACACATTCTTTTATTTTAATAAATAACCACAGTAATCCTAATAATCCTTCCTATCGTTAATCGATTCCAAAAGCCCTTTGATTTTTTTTTATAAAATCAAGGACAAAATCTTTCTTTAATTTTCTTTTTAATTCATTCATTTTCTTTTCAACTTTTGGGGAAATAAATAAATAGGTAAAAAGAAAATTGATATAAACATTGATTTTCTGATTAATTTTTTTTTTTAAAATTAAAAAACTCAAATCTAATTTTTCTTTTCTATTAGATTTAAAATGCCTCTAAATAACAATAATCCTAACTCACCAACCATAACATCATCATCATCATCACCATCATCATCGCCATCATCATCGCCATCATCATCGCCATCACCTCCTTTAAATCATTGTGATCAAGGTGCGAATTTTATTGCTAATAACAATCATATTCATTGTGAGATGATTGGTGATGGTAGTGTTAGTTATATTAACAATTTTAACAATAATGGTATTATTAATTTTAATAACATTAATGTTAATAATGATCTGGCATCTCATCATCAATTGAATCAACAAATACAATCACAGACAATTATTCCGAATGATTTTTTAAGTGCACGCCGTCGAAGTTCATCTACTAGTGATATTTATGCTTTGATAAAAGGAAATCAAAATCGACTATCATTAGGTAATAATAATAATAATAATAATAATGCTGATAATAATAACAGCAGTAATAGTAATGATGATAGTAATATTGCTGAGGATAATAAGATTATCGTTCCAGCTCAACATCATCAACAACCAATAGAATCAAATAATAATAATGATGACATTAATATAATAAGTCAAAACAATCAGTTCCAAGTCCAACATCAACAACAATCTAATAATTTTTATCACTACAATCATATTTCGCAATCTCGTCAATCTCAATTGACCACCAGAAATTCTACGCCAAATCTTCATTCTACTATTGATCCTAATAAAATGTTTAAGCAACTCAAAGCTGATAAAAAAAATCAAAGAAGCATGCCAAACATTCAATTATATTCTAAAGCTATTAATAATAATATTACTAAAACTATTGGTAATAATGTTGGTAGTAATAATCCTTCAATATTTGTAATAGATCATAGTGGCAATAACAGTAATTGTTTTACCTCTTTATCAACTCCTAATACACCAACACTTCACCCTTCAGAACAAATTAATAACGATATTAGTAATAATGGCAACATTAACTCTAGTAATTCTCTGTCACCATCATCAACGTTATCAAATCAAACACATCATAAAGGCCATTCACGTAAAAGATCGTTATCAGCTCCTACTGCACCTCTTCCATCATCAGAAATACAAGATAGTTTTGTTGTTCCATCATCATCATTATATCATCATCATCATCATCATCATCAACAACAACAACCACAACAACAACAACAATATTACAACTATCAAAATCACGTTTATCAACAACAACAGCATTGTCCAAATTATTCATCATTTATTATTAGAAAACCAAATGTTTTAGTTCCAATTCAACGAAATCCAAAACATTCGTCACAATCATCACAACCACCAATGTCTTCCGAGGAATATCAACGTAAACTGAATGAAGAATTGGAAAAAGTTGACTTTAATGACATTACTGTCAGTGAACTTAAAGATTTGTTAAGACAACGTAATAAACCTGCTACTGGCAAAAAAGCTATTCTTATGAAAAGACTTCAAGAAGAAATCAAATTGGTTAAAGCCATGAAGAATAATAAGGGTGGAGCTGGTATTGATGGTAAAGATGCTAATAATAATACTGATTTTAACAATGCTGGTGATATTAATGTTATCAATAATGGTATCAGAAATAATGTTAATGTTACAAATAATCATACCAGTATTGGTAATAATGATAATAATGGATTTGATCAGCAACAGCAACAACCATATCAACCAATGACTACATCTCCAACAATTACTAATAATGGAATGCTCAATTATTATGATGTAATGACAAGTAATAATACTATGACAAGTGATTGTTTTTCTTCATTATTACAACAACTAAATATTCATGATCCTAACAATGCAATTTCTCACCAAGGTCTTTTCTTTCAAGATCATCCAATGTCTGCTCCTGCTACTAAAACAGAATTCTTTGTTTCTTTAGGAGATAATAATGTCATTACTGCTGACAATGATGATGATATTGTTATTAAGGATGAAGAAATGAGTAATGTAAATAATCCTGGTAGTGTTACTGCTATAATTGATTATGATGTTTACCATCAACAACCTTCATCTGCTCCTCCAATGATGACAGAATTCAATAATAATTATGAGTTTATAAATCATCAAATACACAATAAATCTTCATTGTCAATTATGGATGATGGTAATGATGACAGCCAAATGATGATGTCTGATGATCCCACTTCATCTGCATCAACAACCTCACTATTAAATGATCAATTAGTAGCTAATGGAATGTTTGTTTCTTCTCCTCACCAACATCATTATAATGAGGAGGCTTATCAAATTATTTTTAATCAAAATCAACAACAACAAATACAACAAGATGATGAAGATATGATGTTTATTAAAACCGAAGGTATTTGTTTGTTTAAAAATATAATTATTTTCATTTTTTTGGAAGAAATTTTATTTATTTGTTTTAATTTATTCTTATTAATTTAGAAGAAAATCTTTTACTATTTCCCAGACTTTAACTCAACAACCAATGCAGATTGGAGACATTTGTCATTTTTGTATCAATTGGCATGGTTGGGAGATATAGTTGAAGTTGGTAACTGAATTGAATATTGATCAGTTGATCAAATTTGTGAAGAGAAACAATCAAATTAGAAGAAAATAAACAAAAAAATAGAAGAAAATAAACAAAAAAATTAGAAAATTAGAAAATTTTAAAGATTTTAATTATTAATTATTGGCAATTTTAATTTACATTAATATATTAATATAATTTTATTTTAATTAGTTTAATTAATTACCTAAAGCATTTTAACTTGTTAATTCAAATAATTTTTTTTTTGGGGAAAAGAAAAATTATACATTCTTTAATCCTTTTTTTTTTAATACTATTGCTATCTTAATTTATACAACCATTTTATCTCTTCATTCTCCCTTCCTATTTCCTGATTTAAATAATCAATAACACAAATAATTGTTGTTATTAAATATTTTTTTTCTATAGTATATTTGCATTTTTTTGCAATATATACATATACATATATATATACAAGCAAATTCATAATCATTATTTTATTTTTGCTTTTTTAAAAGATAGAATTAAACATAAATTTTTTTATAAATTAAGATTTTTAAAAGATGATTACTTTGATTTTTTTATTTAAAAAGAAAGAAAGTAATTAAATTATATTACTAAAATTTTTTCTAATATGTTAATTATTATTATTATTATTATTATAATAATAATAATATATTTATAAAATATAAAGTTAAATAAAAAGAGAGTTGTGAGTTTATATTTGGAAAAAATGGAGGTTTTTGCTATTGAATTTATACACATCATAATTAAAGCTCCAAATGAATCAATGAAATTTGAACTGATTCAAATCAAATCACCTAATTTTTGATTCAAATCAGTTTGAATCAAATTCAAATTGTACCCTGATTTGATTTGATTTGATTTGATTTGATTTGATTTGATTTGATTTGATTTGAACTGATTCAAATATTAAATATATAATTTGATTCAAGTTGATTCAATTCAATTTGAACTGATTCGAATATACAATTTGATCCGAGCTGATTCAACTCAACTCAATTCAAACTAGTGATGGTGGCCAAAACTACACTTAATGGACTGAAATTGCCAAAGTTAATTGGCCTAAACTTTGATGAAACTAATTTTAATGGCTGAAATTTTAATATATTGGACAAAACTATGTTTTTTTCAAAAACAGTTTCACTAAATAATATCCTTTATCAATTAATCTTGGTTTAGCAGATAGTTTGGGTTTAAAAATTTTTTTCCAAAAATCTGGTATTATTATATTCAAACCTTGTCACAGCAGACTATAATAATAATTAAAACATATAAAATTTTTCTTATTATTATGTGTCCCATCTATCCATCATGACTATATCAAGAAATCTGTTATATTGAGAAGAATTTTATTATGTATTTAATATGACATTAAGAAAAATTTAGGAATCTGGTTTGATTCAAATTGATTCAAATCAAGTCATGAATCAAATCAAATCAAATCACTCTAAAATTCAATTCAATTTGTTCAGAGCCTTAATCATCATATTAATGATAGAAATGTATTGCAAGCATGTAATTCTCATTTACAAACTTGAGAGGTGTTTGATAATAATTATACAAAACTACATGATTCCAGTCTCACCACCTTGTATAGTCCTTGTTGCACAATTCCCCACTTTAGCACAATTTCAGGATCCCAGCCTTATATTCCACTAATATATAAATTATTATACAATCCCAGGCTCATATAATAATACCAAATTAAAATAGAATAAAAATATATACAACTATTCTAGCAAAGACATCTAAATGGTAGGATAGTAATTAATTAAGTGTGATTTTGCTTTTCTTAATGAACAAAGGTCAATTTTTTTAGTGTAAAAATGCTATGTTTATTGTTAGTGATAATATTTGTTACATTATATTAAGGACATGGTGATTCTAATTTGGTCTAAAACCAAGTGTATTTATACCTCTTAGGGTATGAGAATAACATGAATTTTACAATATTTTGTCCAATAAAATATGCTCGGCTGTGGTAGCAGCCTATCTATATAGTTCACAAGGTCCTAGCAGGACCAGGAAAACTCTATTGAATGTGACCACCAACACTATGATTTGAAAGTAAATTTAAAAAAAAATGTGACCACCAACACTATGATTTGAAAGTACTTTAAAAAAAAAATGTGACCACCTCACCATAGATTCACATTGATAGAAAATGGAAAAGGTCACTGCTTTTATTCAAAAAAAAAAATGTTATCAGTTACACTGATTCGCAGACATAGAAAAATAAAAAATGTCATTAGTTTACACTTGATTTGCATTATTAAAAAATGTTATTATTATCAGTTACACTATAATAAATAATAAATGTGGTCAAATTATTTCACTTGGAGTCAATTATCAAGTGTTTGGGCAAAGTTATTATGTTTTATGAAAAATATGGGCAAGGACATTCATGGGTAGAAAAGCCAGCAGGATTTTTAGATCATTTATCATATATTTCTATTAAGGCCCATCTTCCTGTATCACAATGGCATTTTTCATGTGAAAGTTTGGCAGGAGGAGACATTACAATTCATATTACACCATGAGAAGTAGTTTATTTTTTGGGAATATGTTCTTATTCTAATATTAATCCTTGTTTGATTGCAGTAGATGATGAAAATATTTTTAATCAATAAAGGTAATTTCATATGTCCTCGGTTATTTTGATTCGAATTATTAATAATTTTAAAATGTGTTCGGAAAATCGATTTGCATTTTTATTAATTTCAGATAGTTGCTGCAATTTTATTGCAGCTTTTTCATTTTTATTAATAATAATATTATTATGTATAATTGTTTTATCAGCAATCATATTGTCATTAGGTATAATACCATGTGCTGGATTAATATATCAACAAAGTCATCCATTTGATTGAGCTTTTTAAAACTATTTATTACATTAATATTTTCCATTAACAAATTTTCCAAAACAAGCTTTATTTTGTCCACGTACCCAAATTTATTGTAATTATAATAAAGACTAGTGCCGTAAATTATGATGATGGTAGTAATTGTATTTACGGCATATAAAAAGTGGTTGCAATTACCTTTGTGACCACTTTTGCAACCATACTTATTCCTTTTTTGGATTACGGCACTAGTCTTTAAATTATAAAAAACCAAGATTCGCATTAATATGATTTGTCATTTAATTTGGTGGTCACACACAATAGAGTTTTCCTGGTCCTTTAGGAAAGCGGGGCAGAAATTGTACAAAGTAATTTGGGATTTGGGAACTACCTCACACATCAACAAACCAAAAAATTCTGAAAGACAGTTTTCATTGCTGATTATTGCATCAGCTCTTCTTCCAGTTTTGATTTTCATTGGTCTTGTAATTATCCTTTTTTTCTTTTAGAGGATCCTACAATTGTGACTTTACCCTAAAACAAAAATTTTAACAAAAATTTAATAAAAATATTATAATCTATAAAAAATTATTTTAAATAAATGCTTACATAGTTGTTGAAATGTCTACAATATTTGAACTTTTCTTATTGATTTTAAAAATTTAACTACCACTTCACTTGTGTAATTGGATTCCAGCTGCCTGTGATAGTAATTGTTATTTTTCTTGTTAAAAAATAATATTATATCTTTAATGATTTTATATAAATTATAAAAATATTACAAGCAATATAATACTTACTATTTTTTTAATAACATTGTAGAAAATAATATTCATTTAGATTATTTGATGACTTGGAAATTTATATTTCTGAATTTTGTACAGAAAGTAATAAATCTGCAAATTTTCAGAAGGAATTCTATAGTCCAAAACTTTATTCAACTCGAAGAATATTTTAAAATTGTCAAGATTAATTATATTACTATTAAATATTAAACAATATAAACATGTTAATGTTAATGAAAAAAAATTTTTAAATAAACAAATGAATAAACAAATATGTTTACTGTTCATCTGATCTGCATAATATGTATTCAGACTTCTTTTCAATCATTAAGTTACCCAAGGGGCTGTTTAAAAGAAAAATAATTAATATTTAAAATAAAATTTTTTGTTATTTTGATATAAAGATACTTACTGATTCCATTCATAACCAATAATCTTTTTTATAATATCACTTTAACATGTTTGTTTATTGACAGAAAACCATTTTAAATTCTGTGAAAAGCATATTTTAATTAGTTATTGTTGTTGTTATTATCCCTTAAACGGTCAGAGTATTCTTTAATTGTAACACAAAAACACGTTCTCGCATTCTTATTGGTCAATTTAACGATCAGCAAAGTAATATTAGATGAAGGATAAATTTCTGATGATGCCCTTTTTGTGATGAACCTAGGTGCATAAATCAAAAGGAAAAAACCACACGCCTTATTTATCATTAATTGAGAGATTGAAAATTCAATTCAACAATAAAGAAAGAGTTAAAGAATTATTATATTGTTAAGAATATACTTCAATGGATAGTGATGATGGTGAGATTATTGGATAGAAAGATGTACAAAGAATTATGTGAAAAGTATTTTTTGAAGATAGAGGGGAGTTGGCATTAACAGTTTTTTGTGATGGATATCAAATCTTCAAACAAAAGACAGACGATAATTGGGTCTTATTAGTAATAAATAACAATCTTGCTCCAGAAGTATGAGTGAAAAAAGAAAATTTAATAATAAGTTTTATTACACCAGGTCCCAATCAACAAAAAAATTTCAATTCATTCTTACAACCATCTATTGAAGGAATGAAGACTTTACAAGGTTAAATTTTAATTTATATGACTTTTAATAATTACAAGTTAATTGGATTGTCATTATTTTATAGGTGAAATAGAATGTTATGATGTCTTGAATGTTGAGTTGTTTCAATTAAAAGCTCGCATATTAGCTTGGACAGGAGATATCCCTGCTGTAACAAAAATTATGTGTTTCACAGGACATAATTCTTATCAAGGGTGTAGATTTTGTAAGAATGAAGGAAAATTGTTGTCAAGCAATCAACATATATATTATCCTTTATGAAATCATTC